CCAACTTTTGGCACTCAGCAGGAGCCTTCATGGAATCGATCATAAAAAAAAATTGCAAAATACACTGAACTTCTTAGTATCTAAATAGATAAGGAGGTCAATATTTAACTAGTACTTGAAGTTTCTTTTATTTTTTAATTAATAAGTGATGTAAATATTTTCCAAATAAATGCTGCTAACACACTACTTAAATATTTGTCAAAAATTTTACTTTCATCTTTTTGTTTAGCTGACATGCTTCCTTTTGATGAAATGTCTCAAACAGAGTGCGGTGGGAGGAGCGGCGGCTTCGTGGCGGCCCCTCCCCTATTTCCTAACACTGCTGGGGGCCCTGTACCTGGATCTTGGACTTGTGTCTCTAAAAGTGCTAGAATAGGGCCTTTGGGCTCTTCAGCTCTAAAACCTGTTATGATTGTTACAACTCTCGTGCATATACATAGCAAAATAAAATACCTTTCGTGCCTCAATATTGAGAATTGAGTTGATTTCCAGCTCTCCAACCTGAGTCTCCTTCTAAATATTTGCCATATTGCTAACTACTATAGCCTTTACTGGCAGCTCCGTGGCCAGAATTGGCTGTGGTTTGCCTCCATCCATCTTCTGGTGTGTTCTCTTACTCTGCTGAGGCTTTTAAGGACTCAGAGCCCTCTGCCTGTAGTCACCAAGTCCCACAGGACTGACTGCTCCATTTTTTTTATAAGAATTATTATTTCTGTATCCAGAACTGGGGTACAGGCCAGGGGTGCTGGGGTGGCGAGAGGTTTCACCAGAGACAGAGCGGGGAGCAGAACAGTACACTGCTGAGGGGAGCAGCAGGCAGGTCAGGAGAGGTCTGCTGCGCCATGTGGGTCACCTACTGGGGGGGGGGAATCAAACTTGTATGGAAGCGGCTGTGGCCAGCTTGGAGTGCTGAGTCCTAGACTGTTGTGCCACCAGGGAAGGCCCCTGCCTGCTCCACTTTGTAAGATGGGGTCTGTGAACTTGCTAGGCCCAGGTGACACACCCCCTGCACCTGGACAAAGAGCCAGGCAGGAAGCCTGCGTAGAAATCCCCTCCTTTCTTCAACCCAAGTTCTAGGACTTTAAGCTGAGTGGCTTTATTATTCTAAGGAAGAGGCTTTGGGTTACTGGGGCTTCTGGAACCTATAACCAGACTCCGGTAGCGGGCCTTGGTCTGCCTCTAATTTCTGGCCAAAGGAATAAAGATAACTGGTGTCAACAATAATTCTGGGGCTTCCCTGAGGGCGCAAGGGGTTTGGTCTCAGCACTATGAAGCTATCAGCAGCTACTGCAGCATTAAGTTTGACCCCCACTAGGGAGTGACCCACGGGGCGCAGCAGACCTCTCCTGTCTCCCCGCTGCTCCACCCAGCAGTGGATTCAGTCACTCTGCCTGTTCTGCTCCCCGCTCTGTCTCTGGGGAGTCCTCTCAACCCCTGCACTTCTGGCCTGTACCCCAGGTCTGTGCATAAATAAATAAATTGTAAAAAAATAATCCTGACTGGGTTCTGGGAGGCTATAAAAATCCTGCAAGACAGGCTCTAACGTCAGCTACTTACAGTCTGGTTGGAAAGATAAACAGAGATAGAGCTGGAGATACCCAGCAGGCCGAACAGTGACATCAGGTTTCATGGAGGAAGTGGCAAAACCGGAGACCC